CTGGAAACCGCTTTGGTTTAGGAAAGCGGTTTCCGGTCTCTTTCCCGGTTTTCAGCGGTTCCCTCTGGTTCTTTTTTTTATTTTTTTTAATTTTTTCCCCCCCCGACCCAGACCTGATTCATTTTCTCTAGGTTTGTTATCTTCTTCGCCGGTTGTTTTATAAACCGTCTTAAAATAGCAAGGCTTGTATATTGATGATATTTATGTTAAAGTTCTCATATTTTACAGTGAAAACCTTTTCTTTTTACTACAACTTATTCAACTAACGCAGCAATTACCAGTTTAAGACTGATACTACTCTTTTATGCATATATGTACAGGTCTGCTTATAGTGATGATTGTCAAATTTTAATCTTATCAAAATAGGTGAGCTCTCTCTTTCTTTTTTCTTTTAGGTATTTTTATGTGTACACTGATGATAGAAGAATGTTAGAATTTGGAGTTTATTATTTTATGGTTTTGTTTTTTCTACCGAGTTTGACAATTACGCTTCTCGCTGGTGGTGTCTTTAGATGGAGTTTATTATTGTTGTTGAGGTCTGTTTGGTTTCTGAGAAAAGGGAAGAGGAGCTTTCTTGTGGAAGAGGAAAATGAACCACACTTTGTGTTTGTTTTCGGACGATTACCGGTCAAAGGAAATTTTCTTGTAACGATTCAGGATACTCCAAAAACCAGATTTCTCTTGAAAAATAACCCAGTTTTAATCATCCCCCCCCCCCTGAAAATTTAGAAAATATTACAGTATTTAATTATCTCAATAAATTTGTTTCCTCAAAGAAATGGTCCAGTTTTGTCATCTAGCATTTATAAGGACATCACTATGAGACGAGGGAATAATTTTCTTTTACCTTGTTCATAAGAACATAATATAAGCTTCTTCCAATTTAGATTTTTTCTCCCTCAGAAAACATGTCCCCTTGATGCTTTTGCTTTTGAGTACACATAAGTTTTAAAATATTTTATCATTCTATTTCTTGTTTTCCATTAATTTTACTTACTGAAAAATTAGTTTTTCTTTGAAAACCTTCTTCTTTTCTTTGTTTATTCTCAGGAACAGCAAATCTTTTTCTCTTCAGTAGAGTATAAAAGTGCTTGCTTAAAAAAATTGCTTAAAGAAAATGTCAAATTTTTATTAATTCAACGTACTCTCTACTTTGTTTTGTAGAAAACAAACCAGTGGCACAAATGGGCATATACATAATTTTTGTTTGTATAAAATGGACCTTGATATCATCTTGGGCGTGCATTTTCCGGTCCTTATAATGTTCACTTAGCGGCCCTTTTTGTTTTCCCTTTTCAATTTGACTAATGCTTTTTCTTTTGTTTTGGAAACAAATGTTGTCTACCATATTAAGATTTTAGCCTTCTATTAATAATCTGTGTCGGCTCATTTTCCTCAGGTTTCGTTTTTTTCTCTTTGAAAGGTGCATTAGGGTTTAGAAGATTGAGAATGGCCGGCGAGAAGAAAATCGAGAACTGTATCCTCTTTTATTCCTAGAGTACTATTGGTTAGATCTTTTTCTTTCTCTAGACTTTCACCGAGACGAGCAAATTGTATTCCAATATGTGCTTTTAGGTTGTCATTTTCATGTCGGTCACTTTAATTGGTATGTAGATTTATTTTCTTCCATAGATCTATATGTTTTGTTCTGTTTATAGTGCTTCAAAGTTGACTGTGGTGCCTGATTGTGGTCTTGATATGCACAGAGATTGAATCTCTTTGATATATGATGCGGGATTGAATTAGGTATACAATGAACGAAGAACTTGTCTAGTTGTCCTGTCTTTTCTTTTCGTTTCTTTTCCTTTTTTTTCCCCGTAAAAAAGAAGAGGAAACTGGGGTATTGTGCGGTATGCATTTGAAATAGGTTTGAAGTTTGTTGTTGAGATATCTCTTCATAATGTAAACTGGGGTACTTTGTGGTATGCTGAATTGCTATCTGAACTGATCTTGTAGATCTGTTATTAGATTGACCTGATGAATATGGAAGGACTACAATGTGGATGTGTCCTGCGAAATAATTTGAATCAACCTGATAGGTTGAATCTATTTGGTATCACCATTTCATACTTTTTGTAAGAAATCTTTTTACTGCTTATGAATTGGCTGGAGTGGTTTCTTTTACTTGAGAGGCATGCTAGTCTGGTATTTTTCTTAATCAAGTTTTAGCTGAGACAATTATTGCTGGATTGAAGTCAGAATCTGGTACTACATTTGCTGACAAAGATGTGGTATGTTCAATATTACAAGACCATGATTGTGCTTGCATTTTATTTTTGTTTAACTCTGATATATTGACTTGTCACCATGTTGTTAAATGTTTTCTCAGTCTTCTCGGCAAGTAGGGATGACATCTGATGCAACTCCCTTCTTCCCATCGTTAGCGATAGCTACTTCTAGCATGAAATGTGAGACTGATCAAGCTTTAATAGGAGAGCATATGGCTTATAATCCATCTATGGGCTGCTACAATTATTACTATCCAGGTTACATTGCAAAATGGCTCTTTGTGCTTAAATTTGACCTGCATAAGCAGAATCAGAAGTCAGCATCTTTGAGTTAAATTGTTGATCATCTTTCAGCTGTCTTTCACTGTAGATTATAGCATAATTAGATTCCTCTTATATGAGAAGAGCAAATGTGTTACCTTGATGTAGTCTGTTCAGATCTCTCAATTTGTTTTTGGGTTTAAAATGTTGAACTTACTCTTTAAAACTATGAAGATTCTGTTCGTCATTTTCAGAAAGGGAACTTACGCATGTATTGCCTTTTTGTAGATGTAATGTGTCCTTCCTTCAACCAGATGACAATTGCCATTTTCAAGGAGATTGTTCACAGACTGTATGTTTTACTTCCACTTAGTTTTATCTAAAATAACTACTAAAGTTTTGGTTTGCAT